CCCCACATATGACTTTTAATTCTCATATTTGCCTTCTTATATTTCAAAACATTTGTAACTTTTCGTTGAGATACGTTTGCCAGAGATATGGTATCATAGTTTCTGTAGTCACAGATAAAGCTGTTGCATCTCAGTTTTGTTACTTCTGAGTGTGCTGCGCCAGGAATTCGCTGCATTAACCATATTGTCAAATTACTTTCTGTTTATTACAGAAATACTTTTTATTAAAACTTAATCGGTCAATCAATGCAACCAAATAGTTGATAATCATTAATAACATGCATACAAAAAAGAGTAGAGGATCGACAGTGGGTAAAATTTGCCTCAAATGAAATTTGACGTGAGGCTACAGACTCTGCACTGAGGGAACTTTAGAAAACTCAACCCAAATTAGTCTTATGAATTTGAGTCAGTTCTCATGATCAGGTTTTTGGGAAGAGCCGTAGACAATTTTCATATGAGTCAGAATTCCCTAGTCAGTCGACAACAAGTGTTCCTTACAGAAAAAAAATGCTTGATATATAGCACTAATGTGTACTACGGCGTTCTTGCATATCTTCGGGCTTTCCGCCGAAAATTTCATAAACGAGAAACTGCGAGAGGAGCGTTGCATACAAGATTGCAAATTGATAGATATGCGTGCACACCTGCAAATGGGTGACAAATCCGATTATGAAATTATTGATTTTTTTGAGCGAAACTACGTCCTAAAAACTTTCCGGAGGCTTATACTGGAAAATACAGCACATGCGTTCTATTGCATTTACTTTTCAAAGGGACTAAAAGCAAATGGCGCAAAGGAGCTCGTCAGCCCCAGAACAATCATTGGGTCGCTACAGTGTGTATGCAGTTTTGATTTAGATTTGTGAACTAAAAGTGGTAATGTCAGGGATGATCGCAGCAAAAGCGAATAAGTACAAGCGTATGTTGGGAAATTGGAAAAGGAGGACGCTCATCGAAAAGGATACGGTTTTTCGTCTGATAGCACCTGTCACTGAAAAACCCTATTAGTAGTCTCTTCTGTCTACATCCTGTGCGCTGGAGAGAGTTTGAACTAAAATGCATTTGGCAATTTACCTCTAGAATAGACTATGCCAGGGAGAGTCTGGTTCTCTTCACTTAAGACAGATATCCGTTACCACGTGGTGCTTTGGAAGTTACAAAGCCCTGCTCTTTAGTAACATTTTAAGAGTATTTTCTACCAAGTAAATGTTCATCTGAGAAGCTGCTGACATGCAGGACATTTCATTAGTAGTCTCATATGTTCACGATAAAGTATGCGTGAATATGCAGAGGATAGATGGTTGTATTGCTTCAAAAATCCGTGTCCAGATGCGGAGATTTTAAACCGTTTCTTTTTCGATTCCCGAGATGGATTTGAATCCTGTTCTCAGTAATCCGCAACGGCATTAGCTGATATTTTTGAGTATTTTTGCAAAGCGCAATCTCAATTTTCCTTTAAGCCATAATCTCCAGGTTTCACAACTAATCCACTTTCACAGAGAACTGATTTTGAAACGGACTCTCATTTTACGTGTGTGGTAATTGCCGGGAACCGAAGTGCTGCGAAATTTACATTTCAGTAGAACCTCATCAGACTAAGAAAACGCGATGCAGCGCTCAGCCCGGTGAAATTCGAGTAGCAGAAAATTATTGCTGGGTTAACCTAATCGTTTGTGATAGTTAAACAAAGGTCAATTGGTCATGCGCGACTGGATTGTAATAGAGCGCGCCACTATATCTTAGTAACACATCAAGAACTTTGCATCAAAACTTCGTTCAACCTTAGCGAAAGTCAGTTGTCGCTGTGAGGACAAACTGCTCATTAGTCTATTTTGCAAGTTGCAATAAAGCACTGACTGTGTTTTCGTTGACGTATGCGAAGAAGAACTGCAGCGTTACCAATCCAATTGCTGTGTACAGAACCGCCATCAAGACATAAGTGAAGGACAGGCCCAGCGCCAGACCGATCAGCATGTGTAGCGCGAAGCTGCCGCCTATTGTTGCCGCTAGCAGATAGCTGCGATTGCTACAAGCAGAACACATCCTCTCGCAAATTTTAAATTTATCCAAAAAAATAAAGTCTTGCAACTTTCATTTTTCTGGACAATTTATATTTGCATGACTAGCTTAATTCAATAATTTGGAAACAATTGATTAAAAATGCCTTTCATGGGGAAACGAATAATAATGGAAATATCGATAAGTGGACAAGGATGCCCAGTATCGACCTCGAAAAGTACCTCAGGGCTGGGAAAGCACATAATTATAAGAAATTTTAGCTTGGGAAACATATTTAAATTTTGGCCTGCTA